CTCCCCGGCATGAGGCTCTGTCCACCCAAGGCTGTGCCTGGGGGCACAGGAGGGCAGAGGAGAAGGCGGCCCAGGGCTAACATAGGCTATTCAAAACCCTGGTGCCATCTCACTGCTCACCAAGCCACTGCTGGGAGACTTTGGAAAAACTCCTGTGTTTGGAGTCTTGAATTCCTGATCTAAGATGGTAAGTAGCTTCCCAGGTCTGCTGCACACCTCCTCTGACCTGGGCAGAGGGAGTTGGTTCCTATGGATTGGTCATCTTTATTTACCGTAACAGATCAAGGATCTGGCCTGCAGAGCCGCCTTCCTTCCCCAGCAGCCTCTTGAACACCTTCTCCGTCTCCAGCTTGACCTCTGTTAATACATTTACCCACTGGGCCCTCAATGAGTCCCACAAAGGAGCCTCCCCTCCCTTCTCCACCCTTCTCCCCACCTCGGCCCCAGCACAGGCCTCTCCCGCAGCACATCTCTCCTGACTCTGGGATGTGAGGACACAGCACCACCAGGAATCAGCCTGCTGCAGAGAAGAGGGTGGGAGGTGGGAGGAGAGATGGAGACAGCACGGAAGCAGTAGGCCCAGTGAGAGCGGGGTCACCCGCACCAAGAGGCAAGAAATTTTCTCCAAAAAGGAGCGGCAGTCGATGGGCCCCGATGTCTCAGAAATAACAAGGACACCAATGCAGAGAACTAGCCTTGGAAGGGGGGACCAGTGGGGACGGTCTGGGAGAAGTGGCAGAAGCCCAAAGGTGGGCAGGGGTAGGGGACAGTCTGATGAGGAAGAGGGGGATAAGAAGTTGCTCGGGCTTACTCCTCACTGGGCGGGTAACGCTGCACACAGGGTGATGCTGCCCTCCCAGCAGGAAAAGGAAATGCAGGCTGCTGGCCAAGACAAGGCTACTCAAAGAAGCGATGACACAGGCTGACTGTTGTTGGTATTGTTCAAATACCTCTTCCTTTCCCGAAGACCTGAAGGCCTCTCACCTCAGCTGGTTAGAGGTCGCCGTGTCTCCGATGATGTGGAATTCACGTGCTCCAAGTCTTTCAAGATTCTGGTTTGTCAGTCCTCTAGAGCACATGTACACCTGTACTTCACCTTGGACTCTGGAGTCAAATAGGTTTGAGTTTGAATCCTGGCGCTACATGCAAGGCTGGGAATGGGTTGGTACTCTCTCCCCTTTGCATAGCACCCCCAAAATTGGGAAGTCAGGGAAGAGGGGCAACTTGCCCAGCCGATAAGTAGAAGACTCAGGTTTCGAATCTGGATCAGCTTCTGATCTGCAAAAAGGAGCCAGAAACTCCAGCCACACACGGTGGTTGCACAGGTCTAGAGAAGACTCCTCTGCCAGGAGTAGGTGCTGGGAATCTGTCCAGCCTGGTTAGGGAGGCAAGCGGGTGGAAAGGCCCAGGCTAGGCCAGAGGCTGAGCTGGTCCCCGGCCCAGAGCAGGACTGCAGGACAGGGCCATGTACAGTCCTTTACAGATGTGCATCTGCTTCTTGGAGGAGTACCCCCTGCCTCGTCCCCGCCCCTCCTTGTAACAAAAGTTAAAATGCAGCCACATTCCCTCATTAAATATAACTCTCCTTGGCTTTCAATATAAAAGGGCTTTAATAAATTTGCTTTTGAAATCACTTGATGATGAGTAACTCATTTACTTTACTATTGGCTGTGATTTCTCTTCAATCATCCTGCATAGTCTGGAACTCTTGCCAAAAATCCAATTTACAAATTGTTTTCAAATATAATGACATTTCTGTGGATACCAAACTTAACAAATATTAAAGTTGACATGCTGCTTTCGGAAGAATTTAGTTAAACACTTAATTTGACGTTGTCGTTTTCATATTTTGCAGCCCCAAAGTTTTTCTTACAGGCCTTCATTTCCCAGGCCTTTGAAAGTCCGCCCAGTCCCCCGGACAGAAGGGGTTTACCCCGGAGTCCAGGGCGCTCGGACCCTCCCCATTTGTAGACGTGCAGGGGGGCCCCGCTGCGGGAACAGCTGTAGGAACACCCATCCCAGACAGTCCAGGGCATCCTAACTAGGGCAACTTCATTCTCATTTTGAAAACAAAACGATTTGCCAAACGTTGAGTTCAATGTGCTTTAATGGTTAAACCTTTATTGGAGTTTCATATAAATAATTTTATAAATGGGGTAATACTCTGATGCAGCGAATGTTCGGGTGTAAGGTTTGGAACGCTGTAGGAACACCCATCCCAGACAGTCCAGGGCATCCTAACTAGGGCAACTTCATTCTCATTTTGAAAACAAAACGATTTGCCAAACGTTGAGTTCAATGTGCTTTAATGGTTAAACCTTTATTGGAGTTTCATATAAATAATTTTATAAATGAGGTAATACTCTGATGCGGCGAATGTTCCGGTGTAAGGTTTGGAACTCGGTATCCTGGTCATCCTAGCCAGCCCCTACCACCCCTTCTTCTCGGCGGGGCGGGGGCGGGGAGGGCACTGTTCCCGTGCTCCCCTCAACTCCCCCAGGAGGGGGCGCGCCAGAGAAGTGAATCAGGGCAGGGCAGAGTGCGACGCGATTGGCAAAGCCCTGGGTACCACTAAGTCCCCAATGTTTTGTGACTCGATGTAGCCCCCGATTTAGTCCCGATTTAGTCCCCCGATGTAGCCGTCACTCAGGGCGAACCCCATAGGGCGGACTGAACCAGGTAGATCTGTCTGCTTGCTTTATTGCTCTCCGGGGCCTTTTAAAGTTGTTTTTCAAATTTCCTCTGCCGTCCAGGTCACTTCCTTCCGCAAAAATGCTGAGGCCCTGGCTCCCTCACAAGGACGCCCCACAACCCCTCAGGCAGGTCAGAGGAGGCAGATGC